TGAAATAGTTTTCCATATCATAGACCCAGTCCTCCAAAACTTGATAGTCCCGCATGCCTCCTTCTTCAATTTGCGAATCTCCCTTCGCAAATTCTCGATCTCGACTTCCTAAGCTGTACGCTGCAACACCGCAGCATCTGGCTCTTGCTCTTCCGACTTGGCCTCAACCTCTTCCGCAACATCTCTAGCAGGAGTTTCCTTCTCTCGATTCGCCTGTCTAGAGGTTTTAGCATTATCAGCATGGTTTTTCTTCACCATCCTGCTAGTTGTATGCATGCCTCTATCAGTAACTAAACATGCATACAACGTTCTTACTGAATGGTGCTATCCAACTAATCCTACACAGGTCACTTAGGATGTACTAGAAAAGTCTCTGTGTATGCAACTTGAGTAAGAAAATCCGACAAAAGTTGGATAGGAATTGCTGAGACAATTTCTCCAATACCAAATATAGTGCAGTTTATCTCTCTCCCCTTAAGCCAATTGGAAAAGGGGCAATTGCTTGATGAGAGAGCCCTTAGTGGCTATTTTATCGCCATTTATCCCCCAAAGTTCTAAGGATCTATGGTGACAGTATATCTAAATCTCATCCCATGATCACATGCACTACACTCACCCCCCCTTCAGAGATGTCAATGTCCTCATTGACTATTGACTAACAACCCCTACTGAGCCAGGGGGAACCAACACCTCCATTTCCGCACTCAATCTACCAATCCTTCCATTGTGTAAACCAGTTATTCCATGTGAGGCAACTAATCATCCACCCATACCACAGTCCCACGGTGGATACCTTCGTCCGTGGATACTCCACACAAAAGGAAGGATGTACACATGGATGTCTAATACGTACGATTTCAAATTTAGGGGTAGGAATATACTTTGCTTAAGGGTATATTATATTTTTAAGTAGCCACTAATCAATGGGAATCGAACCTGTGCCATTTTCTTACTGCCACGACGGCAGGAGGTCGGTACTACTGGTCCCTTTTATGGTCTCCACTCAAGCTAGTTGAGAAACTGGTCATTAAATATTTTTCGATACCCGAAGTCACATTCGCAACAATAAAGTTCCTAATTCAAAGTGTTGAATTGAACTATTGATGATGGTGTGGCTTGGTCAAAGTGACCAAGTGGAAAGAACACCTAATGGAAATGATTTGTGGCAATGCAATAGCATAGTGAGTCCGAAGAAAGTAATCTCTATAAAAGACCCATGGGAGGGTCATAAAGTTGGGCTAGGGATAAAGCCCACAATAGAAAATGCTAAAGAGACTTATTAAAGGTGAACACCCTCTAGACTTAGCAAAACAAAGTCTTTGCTATGGAACCGAAAGGATATCTCGAGAATGGAGGTAGCAATCCAATGTTGCTAAGTGCAACAATCAAGGATAAGAGCAAAAGACTAGTGGCTAAGAAAAGAGACATGGGAATCATGAGAAAGAATCCAAAACGCAAAGTTAGGCCAAGAACATTAATGTGTTAGATGCTAACGAATTGTGGGAAAGGCAATGTGTTTCCATGGATGAATTCCTAATTGCTTCGATTTGGCGAAAGTGGAAGCTCCAAAGGCAAAAAGCAGTAAAGTAGCCAAATGATAGGGACGTGGGTAGCCCTAGCACGAATTAAGATAACTGGAACTTAGTGCCAAAGGTCGCATAAAATGAGAAAGAGGATGATAGTGCCCTCAAACAGAAAACTTCCAAAGATGGGAAGTGGAGTTGTGCAATATGTGCAATGTAAAGTGCTGGAGACACTTAGGAAATTGACTCTAACAAGTCAAATTTAAAAGTTCCAGAGTGCAAGTTTATATCAATAGGAACTGAGGCTACTCAGGAGTGAGTAGCGGGATTGAGATAGAGGAGGTGCCTCTAACAGGTTTAGCAAACACTAAACCAATGAAAGGGAAAGAACCACCATAGGTGATCGATTGAGTCTCCATGTCAGAGAGGCTATGTGCCTTAGAGGATGGAGAAGGCATGGTGAGCCTTCGGTGTCAGACCATTGACGGATATTGATTAGGTGCTAAGGATGGAAAGGGTAATACATGTTGGTATTACTTTATAAAAATGGTTTACTGTTCGATGAGGATATTGAACTTTGTTTATGGGTGGTGGAGTTGTGAAACACAAAATCCCTAAGCCCTAAAGTGGAGCCGAAAGGGCACCACGTGGTAGTGGCCAAAGCGAAAGCCAAACGAGCGTAACATGTTTGGATTAAAAACTCCAACTTGAAAGGTCGAGAGCGGGAGTGGAACTCCCAACAAAGTGCTCAAGGAATGAGCACAAAGCGAGCAATAAGCAAGGCTCTAAAATGGGACCTAGAAAGGACCGAGACGGAGTCCGAGATGGAGTCCGAGATGGACCCGAGATGGAGTTCGAGATGGAGTCTGAGATGGACCAAGACAGAGTCCGAGATGAAGTCCAAGATGGACCCGAGATGGAGTCTAAGATGGAGTCTGAGATGGAGTCCGAGATGGACCGAGACAGAGTTCGAGATGGAGTTTGAGATGGAGTCTGAGATGGAGTTCGAGATGGACCGAGATGGAGTTTGAGATGGAGTCTGAGATGGATCCGAGATGGAGTCCGAGATGGAGTCTGAGATGGAGTCCGAGATGGACCCGAGTTGGAGTCCGAGATGGACCTGAGATGGAGTCCGAGATGGAGTCCGAGATGGACCCGAGATGGAATCCGAGATGGAGTCCGAGAAGGACCTGAGATGGAGTCTGAGGTCGAGACCGAGACTGGGACCGAGACCGAGACCGAGATCGGGACCGAGACCGAGACCAGGACCAAGGCCGAGGCCGAGACCGAGGCCGAGTCCGAGTCCGAGTCCGAGCTCCAAAAGTATAGCAAGGGGGAGGATTGTAGTGGAGCCAATTTGGCCAGGAAAGGCTAGTTTGGCCCAAGAAGGCTATACCCAAGTGTTGGGTGATGAGCTGACCACTGGGAAGTCCAAGACTAGAGTGAACATGGACCGACAAGCGGGGTAGCTTGGTGAAGTATTCAAGAGCCGGCTCTAATTCCCCCGGGAGATCGACTAGCCGATGCTTCCAGTCCAAGTGTGGGTGGCACTACCTACTTGGATACTTGGTGTGGCTCAACGGAACCTCGCTCTAAGCCCATGGCTAGAGCATCTAAAGGCAGAAGGCGGGGAGAGTACCCATAAGGGCCACGTAAGTTTCGAAATGTTATCCCAAAGTCCCAGATTGTGGAAAGGAAGAGGAGTAGCCCTCTGGTGTGGTGACCAAGGACACAGTCACACAGTGAGGAAGTCCTAGAGGACAGTGGGACTTAATGGTCAGGCCCGTGGTCCTTGATCTAGTGGCAGTGTTGGCGAACATGGCCAAGGACAAAAAGGGATTTAGTGGGGACTGGAAAGGAGATATTGGGGAAGGCTATTCCCCATGTCTGTGGGCATCTTAAGGATGCTAAGGAGTGGATCTGAGATGACCACTCATGGTCGGATGGCTAGTCTTGGAAAGACGGGATTGCAATGCAGGTGGTGTTGGACCACCGATGTGGCCAAGATGAATGGGCATAGCCTAGCGTAATAGGCTGGTATGTTGGTGGTACCTTGGGGTGTTGATCATGGGATCGGACACGTGGAGCACTTGGACCAAGTGCAAAGGTTGAGTGGCATGAATGTCATTTTTGGGGCGAGCAAGCCTAAGTCTTGAATTGGATTTATGGAGGTTGTGAATGAAACTCCTCCAAATGGTCGAAGGTATGGTTAAGTGACTAAAGTAGAATGAAAAATTTAGTCACTTACAAAATTGATTAAATCAATCAATCCTAAAGATCACATCAAATCCCATTATATCCAAAACGGTGAAATCCATATCTATTTACCAAATTCCTATTTTAACTCTTACTTATTGAAGTACCTTATCAGTGCTTTGGCTACCTTGAATAAACTTTATAATCCTTGGTTTTCCCAATAACTACACTATTAGTTTGGCTTACTGGATTATATCTGTAGCCACAAAATTATCCGAATGT